TTTTATCTTTTCTTAATGTTGGTTAATTAACGGATCTGCCGTATAATTAACCCTAATCAACAAATAATCACAATGTCCGCATTAATGATTTAGTTCAATAGCAACCCTGAGAACTAGATATTTGAGTGTTCTCTCTAAGTTTAATAATGTAGTTCCGCAACAATTATCAAGCTTAGTTGCTTCACAAGTTCATACATCACAACTCTGGTTTTTATATCAAACTTAGCAATAAATTATTCACAATAATAACTTAGAGTTCCGCTCTAGCAATTATCAACAACAATCATAGAAAATATGCATAGGAAAACAATCATACTCATTCATAATATAAAATAAAAATAAAAGGAAGAATAAATCTCATGGTTCTTAAAATCCAAAGGTTTGTTATGTCCTTGCAACCAAGAAAACAAGCTTAGCCTTGCATATTTATGGAACAACTACTCTTAAAGATAAAAGAAACCATTATTTCTGATTTGTAGAGAAGAGAGTTTGTGTTTCTTCACTTTTAGCTGCTGCCCCTTTTTTTGCCCCCTCTCTCTTCTCTCTTTCTTTTTATATGCTAAGAAACCATAGTTCCTATTTTACAAAATAGTCCTCCTATAAGTTGATAGTTTATATTTAAGTACTTTAATAATTATTTTCCTAAAAAGGAGAATTAGCCTTGCATGGAATCTTCAAGCTCTAACTTAGAGGAGCTAAATTGCTGATATAAAAACTTGGATGTTAGTTTAGAAGCTTCGGAACGTAATTTGGACTCGTTTCTTCACGAAACCTATTTGCTGGTAGAATTCAGTTGTCATTTTTAAAAGATCATATCTCCCTCATATGACATCATTTTTGGATGAAATCTGGAGCGTATATAAATCTTTGAGTCAGGAATCCAAAAAAAATTGTGTTTGCATTAATTGGACTTCTATAGCTCCAGATATTTAATTTTGAATGAACAAAGGTCAATAGTGGCAGAATACAGGATTTGACTTTGAAGGATGTGATTTCCATGATCTTTCCCTTTTTGTTTTTCTTACATTGCATTTCCATAAAGGTATGGATGTTAACTTTTTAGTGCCACTAGAATCACTTCATTTCGATCTTAGAACTCACACTTTGTACAAAACATGGACTAAACGTCAAATCTATCAATTACCTTCAATTTACTCCTTTTTGC